AACTAGAAAATTCTACGGAAGGAAATTTGCGATGTGTGAAAATTCCCTTTTTTCTAGATTTTCTGACATTCCGCTCCGTATAATTTTTTAAAAATCTTTGTGCATTTTCCTTTTCAAGTGCCAAAAGCAATCACTGAAAAAAATCACGGGGTCACCGGGTTAGTTTTCGAATTATTTAAGTCACAAGCTAAAAAATGCCTCCGAATTAGCCTATGAAAGCGTTGCCATGGTAACTGCTAGTGACGAAATTACACCTATTTTTGGATAACCAATGATTATATAATTCAACCCCGTAAAAGTGTTCAACTGGCCTTGGCCAGTCTTTCTGTTGTATTCTTTCAAAGTTACAAACCATCAAAAAGACGAAAACCGGTACGAGCCACCTTAAATTCTAACTTTAATAACATAAAAAATGACGAAATCTACAATCCAGTCGCTTAAAAAGGAAAACGATGGCCTGAAGAGTAAACTTGAGACCCTAACCAAAGATTTCAAAGGACTGAAAGAGCAGCTGATGAGGAAAGAATCAATGGTAAGAACAAGACAACATGGCGGTTCTTTATCACCGAACCATGAACTAGAAAACAGCGTACAGTTTCTTATTGATGAATTTGATGACTTGCAGGATTCTCACTCTGCTACCCAGTGTAAATTATCCAAACTTGGCAAAGATTTGTCAGATATTTCAGCCAAAGTTAAGGAGATATCCGACGCTATGGAAGTACTACAGCAGTACAGCTACCAGTAAAACTTAAAAATGGTTGGCTACCCACAAGTTAACGAGTTCGAGTCATCGGAAGACACAGCAAAATTGTGTCTTCATTTATTCTCTTGTCTAGGCGTTGACGGAATCACACTTAAAGATATTGATATCGCTCATCGCGTTCCGATAAGAGCGAGTGCTGTGGTAAACAAACCAAAGCCTATCATATGCAAGTTCACTAGGCGTTTTGCTAAAGAGAAAGTAATGGCTGCCAGGAGAGCATCCATTGACATTAGCTCCGAGGATCTTGGCCTACCAAATACCATCTCTTTTGAGCGTATTGGAATCTACGTTCACCTAACACCAAAGTTGTAAGAGCTGCTTCATAGCGCCAACAACTTTAAAACCCAACATGGTTATAAATTCTGCTGGGCAAAGAGTGGAGCTGTTTTCCTTCGCAAGAATGAAACTTCAAGACCAATCAAAGTTAAAACGATGGATAACTTGATGATAATAACGCCGCAGAGCCATGGATCATCACACCAAACACATGAGTAACTGAACTTTCGAATAATAACGATATATCGTTTGATTTCTGCTTTATTTCCTTGAAATGGCTTCGAACAATGAGAGATCTAAGTTATACGTTAAACAACAACAAAAGTTAAACAAATCTCTACTTAAAGAATTGCCATATCATCAAGTGAGAGGTAGTTTGGCCCTCTCCCATGGCCAATTCAATAATTCACTGAATTCTGAGCTCCTGACCAAATGTGATATAGAACAGCTTCCCAGTTTATGTGATTTTGATTTATTTATTCTTAACAACTTGAAAATTCATGATAACAATCTGGCTGCTGATGACATTTTGCTAAACCAACGCATTTTAAGTCGCTACTTTTCTCTAAATAATCTATATCAGCACAGGAACCGTCTTACTAAAGATACAATAGAATCCAGTGTTACCATATTTCATAATAATATTTCGCCTTCGACGAAATCTTAAAACTTTAGAAATAAACATGGTCTTAGAATAACTGAGGAAAGTTTACTACCTTTCTATAATATCAAGAAATGGATAGATATTCTAGTCTTCTAAGATAAGGACGAATAAACCGTAGGCCCCGTCTCTTGCAGGGTCAGGGTTAGGGGTAGGAGACGTTAATTTCCCACGCACGAGATTACTGTGTTGTGGATGTCCTCCCCT